ATGCTTTAAAATATACGTATATTATTACTTCTTAAAATGACAATTAATTTAGTAGATAATACTTATAAAAATTTAATTAAACTATGGAAAAATAATAACGAATAAACTTCAAAGATATTCATCTTTGTGGCAATATGCGTGTGCATTATGATATTGTATAATAATATTTGAATATGGGACATTGATACAACGTAGAAATCAATGGTGCGATTTTAAACTACGTTGTCGTGCTTATAATTTTTGCTTATATAATTTTTCTTTTAGGGTCTTCCTCTTTAAATGTGTCCAATGTTGAAAATAATATAGAATAATAATATTTGTATTCAATGCGTCAACTTTTACGTAAATTAATTGTATATGCGATATATCCATGATAAAAAAAAACATTTAGCTTATTTCAATAAGAGTGTATTAAATATGTGTGAAATCGGATATTGTTTTTAATTAGCTAGCATTCAAATGTAATTATACAAAGTTTATGGAACTAAAAAAATGAAAAAATCTTATTCAAATTATATTATTATTAAATTTGAAATAAATGTATAACATATATATAATGAATAATTAATTAATTAATGAATAAATGTTAGTTGAATTGTACATGTACTATTAAAATAAAATTGATTCTTCAACATTTAAATTTTATATACATACGAGAGATTCTTGAATATATATGAATTAAAAATAAACTGAATTGTTAATTTTTTACTATTGGAAAATCTGCGACAATAAATTGTTTTTTATATGATATATAACATAATAGTGAATTATAATAAATTTTAATAGCAATTTATATAAATACGTAAATTATATGTTAAATATCTATATTCTGTAATGTACGTTTTTTTTAAACTTCTTAATGCTGAGTTATTTCATTATAAAAAAATAATTTCAATGAATGAAATGGAATGTTCCATAAACTATGACTTTTTATGTTGATCTCTGCGTTTGTAATTAATTGTTTAAATATCACATTACGTTACAAAAATAATAAATAAATGAATTGATACAAGTTAGTAATAAGCTTGTTTATGAAAATTTCGAAAATTCTACTGTACAATTGATTTATGTTCGATGTTATAAACAGTTCGATTGATTACTGTTTTTAAATATAATCAATTTGTAGAAATATATGTACTTTTGATAATTATTTTTTATTTTGTTTTTTTTTTCAAATATTAATAATAGGTTTCGTAAATTTATCATTGAATTTGAATTTAAGATCTGATTTATTAACATTAAGATCTTGATTTATAATGTTATTATTAATTTAGAAAATTTTTGAATTAATACTTTGTTTTATGCAACATGCAATATCGTTTATTATTTTTAGTATTGTACAAATATTACTATTACAATTTTCTTATTGTTTTAAAAAATTCATTTTATATTTCTATGTATGTTCAAATGTATTTTTAATATTAATATTTGGATGTAACAATCGTAAATTTTTGTTTTACTACTTGATTAATTGAACTTCCATATGATATATATTTAATTAATCATTTTTTTTTCAAATTTAAAATATTATTATTATATATTAATATTTTAAATTATATAGTAATATTAATATTATTCATTACTAATTTATTTAGTAAATTTTAAAATAAAGTAATTTTTTATTTTTATTCACTTAATTTAATCTTGTACTATAGCTAAATATTTATTTCTTCTGTTTAAAAATACATAAATGTTAAAA